CCCCAACTTTCTCAGCCTGTCTTCATACGTAGGGGCTCCAACCCCTGATCATTCTCATGTCCCTCTTGTGCACTTGCTGCAACAGCTCCATGTCCTTATGTTGAGGGCACCAGAACTGTGCGTAATGTAAGTAGTTTACTTTTTTCCTTTAATGTGTTTTTTAGGGGAAAATACTCAAATCTGAACATGTTTTGTGCACGTAAATTGAAATAGATATCTCAAGTCTGTTGCCTGTTACAGATTGTTTCAGTTTCTGAGTAGATGAAAGGCGATGCTGGTGTTCCTCCAGCCTTCTTCTGAAAATGACTTTTTCCCCCACAGCTGTTGACAGGCAGATACCGGGATACGCAGACTTCAATAACTGACAGCTCTGCAGTTTACAGGGTCAGCAACAACAAGGTGAGCTGGCAGGTTTCTGGCTGTTGCTGTTGTGCGGTTGCAGCAGCAACTCTTGTCTTCGTGTTCCCTGTGCTAAACCTGGCTTGATGGGTTTTATGCTGTTCAGTCTTCCCAGCTTGAAATCAGTCCCCAGAGTAGTCTGAGCGTAGGATAGGATTTTTCTGGGTGATCAGAGCTGAGAAGATAGGAAAATAGTAGGAGGTATTAGGGACTTTCGGCTCTGCAGGCACTTTTTAATCTGCTTGTCAAATTGTGAAATTTGACTGAAAACCAGGTCTATATGTCATGTTTTGAAAGGTGGGCAGCGTGTGGTGTTTTTTTCTGTAGAAGAGGAAACGTTGCTGCTTTTACAAGTGGAGTGAAACAGCATTGTGGGGACAGCATTGTGGTTTGGAGCAGGAGGGAGATTTCTGAAGGAACATTGTTCTGTCACGTTTGGTTTATTTGCTTGGCAGTAATTTCAGTTTCTCCCAAGAAAATCTGAAATTAAAAGCTTTTTTTAGCAGGCTTACAAAGAACCTCCAGTTGAACTTCACATGGGCTCAAAATTTCAGGTGCTGGAGTGCTACAGACCTAGTCAGTTTCAGTTTATGGCAGTTTCATTTCAGAACTGTTTCTTTCTTGTGCTGGGTGCACAAGTGGCAGTGAAAGCAGCAAGCTGGCAGCACGATACATACTGGGGAATTGTAGAAGCAGAGGATGTTTTTGTGGCTTCTCTATGGCAATCTTCAGTAACAGCGGTGATAATAAGAGGCTAAAAATGTAGTGAAGGGAAGTGCAGGGTAATTTTTGTGTCTCTAAGATTGAGCAGGCAAGTATTTGGAGGGGGAGAGGAAGGGAAATGCTGCAAGGTTGACTGCTGCTTTTCTCATTATTAGTATTTTTGAAACTGTAGACAATGTTTCCATTACAATCCAAGAGCGTTGTGTAGGTGGGCTCTTGGGTAGTGTTCTTTTCCCCTCTTGAGAACAATGAGCATCATCTTGAGAATAATGACATGGCCCTACTTGGCCCCATCTTGATCAGGAGAGTAAGAGAGGCATTTGTGCTCTTAAGTGTCCTCGCTTTGGCTGGCAGGCTGTGGAAAGGGAAACATTTGCAGCTTTTAATTTAAAAAGTCTCTTACAAGGGCATTTTTGTGTTATTCCCAATAACGTTTTGTGTATTTAGGTCAGACTTGCATTTGGGTAGATCATGTGTGTGAACAGGTAACTTGATTCAGAGGCTCTTTTCCCTGCAGTCATGCTCTGTTCTCTCAGCAACAGTGAATGGTTTACTGGTATTGGTGCCCTCCTTAGTGAGTCCTGGCCATGAATGTTGTTCCTCAGCATCTTTTTTGCCTGTCAGAATCGGGCTGGTGATGAGACTGCACGCTGGGGAGAGTTACATGTTTCTGCCCGGTATGGGGATTCACTCACCCACTGCTGCCTCAACACCAGGCTAACTGGAATCCACTAGCAGGCTGGTTTTCCCCAGTCTGTGATCACTGGGGATCTAGGTGCCCCTAGATTAGGTTTTGCTAATGCCTTCTTGCTTTTGTCCTCAGAGCGCAAACGTCACCTTAATCGACCTTCCAGGCCATGAGAGTTTGCGGCTTCAGTTCTTGGAGAGATTCAAGGCTGCAGCCAGGTAACTTAGAGGAGATTGGTGGGGAAGGAGGGGGCAGGTAATGTTTTGGAAAGGGATGGAAAATGATGGTGTGGGGGATGCTGTAAGCTGGGTGGGATTCCATCTGTGTGGACAGAGCTTTGTGATATGGTAGCAAGGCTTAGTTATTGTTCTGCTTTCCTGCTTACCTGTGTCTGTAGTGCATCAGGAGGCAAAGCAACTGCAGTGGGGAGGTTTAGGGGATGCGGTATATTCCTGGGACAGAGAGGAGATTTCCTGCTGGGCCTGGATTCAGGGCATTTCAGACAGCATGTGCTAACCTGCTTTTGGGTTGGATGAGATCATATGTGGAAACAAATACGTTAGCTCAGGCTGGAATGCTTGTAGGGGAAGATGGTTGCAGAACTTCACACATAGCACATGTTCTTCCCTTTCTCCTCCAGAGCCATCGTGTTTGTGGTGGATAGTGTGGCCTTTCAGCGGGAGGTGAAGGATGTGGCAGAATTCCTGTACCAGGTCCTGGTTGATAGCACTGTGCTCAAAAATGCACCCGCGCTCCTGATCGCTTGCAATAAGCAAGGTATGTGGGCTACTTTGTAGGCTGGACATTGAATTCAAGCCTTGAACTGAATGAACCTTAGGGGTTCATGCCATGGATGATGAATTTCTGAGGAGTTTGGATTTCAGCAAAATGAAGGCTGGAGCTTAATTTTGA